GGCAATGTCTGGAGACATCTTTGACTGGCACWCCTGGGGAGGGGCCTCCTGGCATCCAGTGGGTGGAGCCTAGGGCTGCTGCTCCACCGCCTGTGGTGCACAGGACACCCCACAACAAAGACCCACCCAGCTCAGCCTCATTAGTGCCCAAGGGGAGACACCCTGCCTGGGCGAAGGCCACAGACCACCTCCCATTTGGAGCCATTTTTTGTTGGTTTAGGTGTGAACAGTTGTTTCCTGCCTTTCTCTTTCCTGTCTATTTCTTACCACATCTAACCCTTCCTTCTGCTGTTGGCTTTGGATGACACCTGCCAGTCCTCAGCCACCACCCTGTCCCCACCAGTTCCCCTGGTCCCTGCTCAGAGTTCTGGGCGTGCCAGTGCTTCCTACCTCCGTTCACCTGCAGGTGGGCCTCCAGCTGAAGTGCTCCGGTCCACTGCCTCGCGGGGTTGAGGATCCTGCTTGGCCTCAGATGAACTCCTCTGCAGGTAGAGGTCGACCCTGCTGAGTGTCAGCATTGCTGTCATCCAGGAGTCTGGGGAAGGCTGCTCAGAGGAGCCCTGTGTTGGCAGGACACTGAGCTGGGTTCAAGCCCCCTTCTCTGCCCTTCCCACCCACAAGGACTCCCAGCTCTGCACCCCTCTGGGGTGGGTCCACAGATGCCTTCTGACCGGAAGGAGACTGAGGAAACCCTTTCTTCTAAGGTCAAGCCAAATTCAGTTTTGATAAGTAGCCCCTACCCTCCTCCCTCATTAATGTCTAAACTGTGACCATGCTGTCCTTGCGGTGACATTGAGGAGCCTCAGGTGCTATTGAAAAGACATGGAGGACAGGTGACGCCTGCCGCGTTACTTCACACACGGCTGGCATCTCCATGCCCTGCTGGCAGGGCCTGCATTGTGGCTGGTCTTGGGGAGCAGCCTGGGGAGGAGGACCTCCTGTGGGTTTTCTTTGCTGGGTTAGGAGGCCTCTGTCCTGTCCCTCCTCAGTTGGCAGGACAGAGTCAAGTCCTCATCTCTTACACAATTCCACTTATCACCTTCAGCTTACAAAATGAGAAAATTTGGGGTCCCTCAGAAGTTCAGCACAGGGATGTGTGGCACAGGGCGTGCGCGGCAGAGGGATCAGTCCCTCGAAGCTGAGACCATAACTCCTCCAGCTTTAATGATCTGACTTGAGCCTCATGTTGAAAGGTACAATGTATAAAAGCTCTGGCAAAACGCAAGTGTCTTTTGCTTTACTTCTTCAACGTCTGTCAGTCATCTGGTTACCAGAAAATAGCCTTTAAGGACCCCTCTGAGAAGCCTTTGTTGGCCTTGGAGTGGGCATGCTGAGGCCTGGGCATGCTTGGTGGTTGGCTGGTTTCCTTTGCCCGCAGCCGAGGTTCTGCTAAGAGACTGTAAACGTGATTACTAGCTGTCAAGTGGTGTCATTTGGAAAGTGGGCTTGTGACGCTCGCTCGCTCGCTCGCTCGCAGAAGCCGACTGCCAGAGGTTCCCTTGAAGTCAGCCTTGGAAGCCCTCCTGATGATTTCCGGATCCTGTTGTCATCAAGGGGGTTTAATTCATGGCTGCTAGAATGGCCCAGGACAGAGTGGTGGAGGGTGGCCAAAGATCTATGACCTGGGACCTGGAGAGGAAGGGGCCTAGGGGCTGTCAGCCCTCTGCTGCGCGTCCTGCCCTCTAGGTCAGCAGGTCCCTGCCGCTTGGCTGCAGTGTGGTTTGGGTGTAGCAGTGAGCTCAGCTACATGACATTTTTTTTTAAAATGTCAAAATGGTAATATGCTGTATGGCATAGAAAAATCAAGAAATGTTGGTCTAGTGGAGTCCAAGAGCTGTAGGAAAATAAAGCCAGATGCCACTCAGACATGGACAGCATGAAGATTTCCTTTCTTTTAGAGAAGGCAGGTCTGGCTTTGTGAAAGGGGATTTAGATTTCAGAGTGACAGGCTCTGGAGCCCGTGTCCTCTATGCAACGGGAGAGCCCATGTCTCCAGGGCAGCGGGGAGAGGCAGTTCTCTGCCACCAGGCTTTTCTACCCAGATGGCCAGACCTGAAGTGGACTCCTTGAGGCTGGGGAAATCCGTGCTTGTTCCTGGGGGTAGTGCCGAAGAAGGCTTTGGAGCATACTGGAGGAGGAGGCTCCTGGAAGATTTGGTGCTGTCTAAGGTGGCGCCAATGGATTCTTCTACTCTGCAGCCTGCATTCTACTACAGCAGAGCACAAAACCTGGGGTGGATTCCAGACAAAGGCACAGATTGGGTAACACCAACAGTCCAGCATTCGAACTTTTAAGGAATGCTATTTTTTTTATTTACTTGTTTATTTTACTGTGGGCTCTACAGATGCCTCAGATAACAAGCAACAGGTCAATTGTGGACCAGCTACTTTCCTATTAAAGCTCATCTCCAAATTTGAAATTTGCCAGAGTCTTGGATAGTGAGGCGGGGTCCCAGCCACGTTGGGAACTCTGGTTCTGGTCCCACCACGCCACCCCCCCCCCACCCCCGCAGTGCTCCCTCGGGCCAGCGTGGAGCTTCAGTTTCTCAGCTCACAGTCCCCTGGCCTTGATGTCTGCACACTGCAGCTGTGAAGTTTGGGACTTTTGAGGGATCTTAGTGGTGGTGGTTCATTAGCATGCAGGGCACTACAGCCATCTCTGTGTTGTCACTCACGTTTTTATCTCTCTTCATGGCAAAATCATTTAGCACTAGTATTCTCTTGCAAGTTTATGAAATCTTTGAGGACAGAGACCCTGCCTTGTCATCGTGAAGCACTGCAGTAATAGTATATATTTAATGAATACAAGAGCCAGTAGAGAAACAAATGAGTGAAAATCTGATCAGAATGTCTCCTGTTCTTATCAAGGTATCATTTACTGTTTGTTGTTTAGTGTCAAGTTTGGTARTATTCATATATAGTTATTTTGCTTTTTGTTGTTACCAAAGGAGAATGCTAATACGTACTTGGACCAAAGAAATTAACAGTAGCTCAGGCATGGGCACAGGCAGTGTGACCCCCAGACCTTAGGTTCTACCCTCACTAGTGAGCTATGCAGTCTTGGGGGAATGTACCCTCCCTCTCTGAGCCTCTGCATCCCCCTAGCCCAGTGGCTCTAAAAATGTTCTGAGAGATGCTTCCTGCTTGGCTACCACTCCAGAAGTTGGTGGTTCTTGGGTCTGATCAAAGGTCAGATGGATCTACCCTCAGGACCTCACCATTCCTTGAAGACCTGTCAGCACCACTTCCAGAGCCCCGGAGTTCAAGTGTCAGGTGCAGCAAGCCACAGCCCTGTGAAGATGGAAATCGTGGAAGCTAGAGGCCACTGATGGTGGTCAGATGCATTTCCAGGGTCCTCTAAGAAAATAAAATGAATCACCTAGCATCTGATTTATTTCATCAAACTTGAAAATTTCACTGAGGCAAACATCCAGGTTTCTTAGACTTTCAGAAAAGACCTTACATGATTTATTCTTATGTCACTTCCAGTGTCATGAACACAGTAGATGTCACAAAATGTTACAAGGTTAAAGTGGGGAAGGAGGGCAGCCCCCTACTGTGCCTGTGGTCCAGAGCCCCCAAGCAGTGCTTGGCCTCCCTGTCCCCATCTTACCTAGGGCCTTCCCAGCCTAGGGCAGACCAGGTACGCCTCCTGGCTGGATTAGCATTCATTGTGTTTTTCTTCTGGGACTTTGAAACACAAACTCTGACACAGTACATCTGTGCACACAGAGAACTGACCTGTCGATCAGCTACGTAAGAATACTGTGCCTTGTCAAGTGATTCAAGATCATTAGCAGTTGGAGCCAAGGAGGAGAATTTGATGGAAGGGAAATTCAACTTTAAATATCCATGGTGACTCAGAATGCCTGGCCCTAGTGTCCTTCCCAGATTGGTGCTCCCCAGAGTGCTCAAGATTTTGATGCTGTTTTCTTCACCTCCATGTTAACATGGAAGATCCGAGAGGACTAGTAAGTGGGTAAGCCAGGCTTGCCCTCCTGTATGCCCACAGCTTTCTCTTGCCTGTTGGCATGGATAGCAAGTACTTGGCTGTAAGGAACCTTCCCCCACACTTTGGGATTTAAAATGCCCCTAAAAATTACTTAGGAGACAAACTGTGGTACTCCTCCCAGAGGCCAGTGGCCCAGTACCCAGGGGAGTGCTGTCTTCTCTCTGTTCTTGTCTTCCTGGGAGCCTACCTGTACCAGGGTCACAAGTACCAAAGATACTTCTAAAAAAGTTGGAGGGCTGGGGCTCAGTGGTAGAGCCCAGCACTCATGGAGCACTGGGTTCGATCCTCAGCACCACATAAAAATAAAATAGGGGTATTGTGTCCACTTACAGCTAAAAAAATACATATTTTAAAAAAAGTCATTTGAGTTGCATCTTTTTCAGAGCTGCGTGGTTGGTTATGAGAGATGCCTCCGACAAACCGGCAGCAGGTGGGAGATCAACCTTATTTTGGTTTTGCAGACCAGGCCCTGGAGCACGGGTAGATTTAGTTAGGGTTCACGCCTGCGTGCTGGCTGCTGCCCTAGAGGATCCGGTCTGCACAGCCTTGATCCACCCCGGCGCTTGGCCCTGGCCGCCCGCCGCGCTCGCCTCCGCCGCCGCGCTCCCGGGACTCTGCCGGCCGGGCTGAGCGCGCGGCCCGCGGTCTCTGCACGTCGGCCCCCGCCCGTCCGCCCCGCCCCGGCGCGCATTTCCATTTTAAACCGCCGCCCGCCCGCCCCTCGACCGCGGCCAGCGCAGCTGCCCGCGTCCGGAGCCCAGCGAGTGGTGGAGGCTGCGGAGTCCCCGAACTGTGCACGAAAGGCCCGGAGATGCGCACGGGTCCCGCGCTGTAGACAATGAAGCCGCGGGCGCCGCCGCCCGCCCTGGGCCCTGCGCGCCGCGACCGCACCTGCTGGCGAGACCGTCCCTGCGCCTGACCGCCCGCCGCTCCGCCCCATCCGGCCCCCCGCGGCCCATGGCTCGGCGACCCGGACCCGGACCCTAGCACTTGGGCCGCCGTCCCCGCGGCCTGAGCGCGGCCCTCGCTGCGAGTGGGGGGCGTGGGCCCCAATCTCGTCTGGCCACTCTCCCCACCWTACTCGGCGACTGCCTCGACTGCGCGTCCAGACTGGCGGACGCGCTGGATGCGGCGGGGTTCAGGCGGGTGTCGCGGCGGCAGCGGCCCCGGGAGACATGTACCTGCTGGACGGCAGCGGCGAGCACGCGTCGCCGCCCGCGGACGCGATGCCGCGCGGGACGCCCCCCAGGAAGACTGTCTACCGCATCTCGGTGACCATGGTCAGAAAGGAGCAGCTCCGGGAGCCGGGCTCCAGTGGCCCCGGCCCGCGTCTGGCACCGCGACCCCGGCCCGCGCGTTCCCCGGACGCACCCGGGCGGCTCCTGGAAGAGGCCGAGGAGGCTGCGGGCACTGAGGACCTGGAGGGGCTCCAGTCGCGCGCCTGGGACTTCCGTACCTTCCGCACCCGCAGCACTGGGCAGCTGGAGCTCGGGAGGCTCCGGCCATGCTCAAGCGGCCCCGAGTCTGCGGCCCTGGCGGGCAGTCCCCAGGCCTTGGAGGGGTCCGGCTCTCCAGAGCCCTGCAGCCCCGATATGGAGGGGCCCCGGGCCGCGCCCCTGCGACGTAGTCTCAGCTTCAGGGACTGGAGCGGGTCTGAGGCACCTCGGAGCCCGGCCCTGAGCAGCGGGAGGCGCCACAGCAGCTCCGGAAGCCTCGCATGGCCGCTGGGCGACGAGGCCGAGGCTGGCCTTGAGGCCGCCCTGGAACCCGCCACCGCTGCACAGCCAGCCTCGGAGAAACGCAATACCCTGGATGTCGGCGAGGTGCTCAGCAAGAACGATGCGCTCTCSGACCTGGAGCGCTGGGAGCGCAGTAAGAGCAAGAACCGCACGCTGGACAACAGCGACCTGCAGCGGCTGGAGCGCGCGCGGGCCGCGGCTGCGGGGCCCGGAGCAGCCTCTGAGCACCGACTACTGCGTTTCTTCAGTGGCATCTTCGCGCGTAGAGACGGCGGCCCTGGCAGCGGGCCCTCCCCTCGAAGCGGTGCCTCGCGATCGCGTGGCTACTTCAGCAGCCTGCGGCGAGCCCCAGCGGATGCACACTCGTCCAGCGCAGAGAGCATCGAAGGCTCCCCTCGGAGAGGTGGGCAGCCTGGCCGGAGGGCTCCAGGGAAGTGGGGAGTGGCGGGAGCAGCTTAGGGATCTGCTGGCTCAGGTCACAGACCAGTGAGCGCCTGTAGCCTGTATGAACTCTGTGCTGTTTCCCCAAGGGTACTGAGGCAGTCTAGTCTGGTTGTTGCTGACTGCCCTTGCTCCTGGCTTTGTGTAGTAGCTCTTTTGAGGTCTATCTCTTGAGCCATGGTGAACTTGACCGTGGAAAGCTCACCTGGGCTGCCTCTCCTGCAGGTGCTGGCTCAGCCATTAGCAGGCTCCTGAACACCAAGCAGACTGTGCTGCTTGTGGAGCTGCTTCAGGGAACCAGACTTGGCCTTGGTAACTGCCCAGGTGCAACTGCCCGGCCAAGGGAAGCCAGCCTTCCTCTGGGTGTATTCCACACTGAACCCTCCCAAGGGCAGTCTGCCTGTTGGTTCTGCCGCCAGTGACTGCTGGGGTGTGGCCTTGGCTGATTTGCCTGCCTCCACTAGCAGAACTCTTGATAAAGACAGAGCTGGGTGGGAGGTGGAGAGAAGGGATTTAAAATGCCCCTCTCCACAGCTTTTCTGCCAAGTGTGTTCTCAAGGGAAAGCAACTCTGGAGCAGAATTCTTTTTTCTAGTAATGTGTGCCAGGCAACCAGCAGGAAAGCCGCAGCTCTGCAGTCCATGCTGAACCCTAACCCCCTGCTCTCTCACACCTGCGGGGAGGGTTGGAGGCAGACAGGAGAATATTCTCCTGCAGGAATTAGTTAACCTGCTAGCATTTAGTGACCAGAAGCCTGCAGAAACTGCACAACACGGACCCAATCTCAGCATCCTCTGAAGGGCAAAGGCTGGGTACAGTGTGGGGTTAGATTGTTGTCCTAGGATGTGAGATAAAGTGTACCTGTAACCACAGGTGTGTTGCCATTCATCTTGCTACCAGGAAATCCTTAATCATTCCTGCACCCTGATTACCAAGCTCTGCTGCCAGCCCAGGTGAAGGTGGTCAAAGCCATGAAGGGTGGCTGTTGGTTCGCTGATTTCAGCTGCTGCCTAGCCAGCCCTGGAGAGAGTTCCTCCTAAGTGTGCAGGTATACAGGTTAGCTCCAAGATGCAAGGTAAGTCAACCATAGCACAGGAGTCACTAGCCTAGCGGAAGCCTTGAAAGGTAAACTGAAGGCAAAATGGCCGTGTTTTAAAATGCTGCCGATGGTCCTCAAGTGTAGAGATGTTCAAAACCAGGTGGATAAATGTGTAGTTGTGTTTCTATCCCCGGGTTTATTTTATGAGCAAGGAAACGACAGGAAGTTACCTGTTGCCAGGCTTGGCTGTTTGGTTTGTCGTGTTTCCTRTTTTAACGTGCCTTGGGACACAGTGTTTGACTGTGACTATTAGTCCATTTCACCCTGAATGCTCTTAAAATGTTAGAGAATGGCATGGTTGTGAAAGGCTTGGTTTGCTTGGAGTTGATATTGCCATTATTTGTGTTCAGAGGAGGTTCAAATCTGAAGGTCCTGTTTCTCCCTCTAATACCAGGTTTGTGTCTTTGTTCTTGTGGACTTCGTAGAAAATAGTAATTAGCTGCTTAGGTTCCAGAGAAGTACCCATCTCTGTGTGTGAGAGGGAGAGAAAGCGATGCACAGACATGATTTTAGAAGGAACAAGCTTCATCATGGTACCTGTTGATACAAGTTAAAAGCATTTGAGGTTTTGGTGTTGTCTTTTCTGGAACAAATGGATTGATAGTAGATTTGCAGTAGTAAAGGTGTGAAGTGTATTGGAATTTCTTCCCTAGGGCAGTATAACTTAACAGTAGTAATAATTACAGTAATGCTCAGTTGCTCCCTTATGCTCAGTCTTTTTCTGGATGGAATCATGTTGGTCTGGAGGTCTAACAACACTACTAGCATTGTGGATTTTGCAGAAAAGCTGAATTTTTAAATGAGCTAGGTGACAGGGCACACAATAATTCTAGGGCCTTGCTTCATTCAGAAGTTCTAGACAGTTTTTTTAAAGCTGCAGCTGGGTAAAATCTTTGCTTTTGGTGACCACATCTGAAGCCTTAGTAGCCCAAGGTTTTGGTGCGGCTGCCACTACTGTGCCTGTTACAGGTGAACTTTGCAGAACCTGTAGCTTTCAGGGTTTCTTGTTTTATTAGACTTCTTCAGTTTTTATGTGTTCGTTTCCTGTGACATAAAGTATTCACGATTTAGGTGTTGTTTAGTGRAGTTTGGAATTTAGGAGAAAGTTCCACCCTGAGTTCGTGTCCAGATGCTGTGGAGCCCATACTCAGTTTCCTTGTACACATTGCTGAGGGCAGGTCCACGGAGCCCTGACCAAACCCTCCAGCCAAGTGGGTTTGCATAACTCAGCAATTTGGGCTGTTAGGAAGGTGAAGTGGTGCATGTTGTAGAACACCACTTGTAAGGTGGGACAGCTCCCTCAAGTTACACGCTGTCATTTTGTAACAAAGCCCGAGACTGATCACACTCAGTGGAGTAAACAGTGATTAAAAATAGCCTCATGTCAGCTCAAGTCTGCTTTGCCACACAGACTTTGCCAAGTATTTATGAACAAAAGTTCCATTCTTGGGCGTTTTGGGTTTCAGAATTACATCTACTGATGACCTGAAACATGATAGGCATCGTGAGGTGCATGTCTTTAAATCTTTATCATAATGTTAAAATTTGGGGTTCACAAAAACCTAAAGAAAATTAGAGGTGTCGTCACCTAGTGTTAGAATCTTTCTTTAAGGAAAAAAAAAGCTGTACAATTTTTGCATTGGTCAGAAGAAAATTAATTTTATAAGACTGCAATTATTACATTAAGTSGCTTATTTGGTTTCTTAAAACTAAACACTGTCAGTCTTGGATAAGGTGTTCCTACTAGTATAACAATGCAAGATGGTTAGTCTTATTTTACAACATGCGCTCATTCTTGTGTATGCCACCTTTGGTTTTCCCTTAACTGAGAGCATTTAGGAGGACAGGATTGAAACGCCTGCTCTTGTACGAGGGTTCCTGTGTGCTTTCTGACGCTGCTGGGGCTCCTCTGTGAGGCCACCGCTGTTCTTCCCCAGACATGAACATTGACTCCTACAGAGGCTCCTTTGCAAGCTCACAGCGACTGGCACGCCAGCAGGCATTTCAGGACACGGTATCACACCCAGGAGAGTGTTGTTACCTGATGCACAGGTCCTAGGGCAGAGTCTATTGGCACAGTATGGTTTAGTACAGAGAACAACCAAACAATAAGTGATTAATGACATTGTAGGCTGCCACTCCAGCCCATCTTCTTTGCATCTCAAAAGCAGCTGTTTCAGCTGGCCTGCCAAAACTCCCTGGAACCAGCTGCCCGCCCAGAGTAGCCTTTAGGGTGTTCTTTTGCTATCTGGGAGGATTGATTACAGCAATAAAGTGATTTCATTGAAAGCTGTGGCTAAGGTTAGCTTTTTAAATTAGTAATTCACAACTGACTTTTGACACCTTATTTTATCAGTGGCTTCATTAATTTCTGATCCCCTTGATTTGTGTCACTCAGGCACTGTAAGGTGATAGACTTAAAACAAACTCTTTAATGGAGAAAAGGAGGAAGCAACAATTAAATGAAATAAAATCACTGATATAGCTTGAAACATTGTTTTAAACCTGATCACATGTGTTTGGAATGAAACTATGTAACTCAAAGCTTTTTCATTTGAAACATTTTGAACTGATTATATACTCAGTCTTTATTATTAAAGCTGAGTATTCCTAGATAGAGTTCACTTGCTTTTGATAAATGCCTCCAGACGGGCAGTGTCAGATCTCTTGTGTGTGGTAAGTCTGGGATCGCCTCTCTGGAGATGGAGCAGCTGACATGGGGTGCTGGGAAGAGCACCTCGAAGGTCCTCAAAGACCTCCGGCCTTTTTAAATATATAATTTCAGTTGTCAGTGGACTTTTATTTTATTTATTTATATGTGGTGCTGAGAATTGAACCCCGTGCTCACGCATGCTAGACAAGTGCTCTGCCACTGAGCCACCACCCCAGCCCCCTCAGCCCTTTTGGGCAACTACTTGGGGCTCAGACTATGTTTATTCCAGCTGGAGCCAAGTTTCAGACAACCTGGGCTGGTGTACCCTACTACCAAAGGAATTTTCAGAAAGTGCATCTGCTATAGCCATTCTGCTTCTAACACAGGTCCTCGCAGCAAACTGCTGGGTCATATGGTCGACAAACACCCTTTGTTAGGAAGCGCTGGCTGTGGTGTTTTAAGTCATCCCTGTCTCTGTATTGACAGGCACTTGCTGAGCTTTCCTTGTGTATGGTGTGTTCTTTAGGCGGCAGGCACTAGAGTCGACTGCAGCACAGTTCCTGTTGCCGGAGGTCAGTGGCCTCTTGGGGGAGATGGAGGAGTTCCCACGAATCCCAACCCCACGGGGTGCTGCAGGGAAGCTGGGGCTGTTTCTCTGCACAGCATCTCTGTATCAGAGCCCCGTTCCAGACTTCCTTTCCGTGCCAGTTGAGTAGAGGACCCCGCAGGGCATGGAGCGTATGTCCTTGTGGACTGCAGAGTTGGGAGCACGTTTGTGGGAGGGATTGAAGAGAGAAGATGGGTCGTGTGTCCTTGAGTTAGTGCAGGCCCCGGACAGGTAAGGTGAGCTGGACCTTGCAGGATCAGTGCCAGCTGACCAGGTAGAGAGGACTCCAGCAGCAAGGGGGCTGGCACTTCTGTAGTTGACTCCTAAGCTCTCGGTCCAGTTCTCATATCTATGACTAATGCCAACACTATGCATACAAAAGGACGTCACTGTTTGTACACTCTTTTTTAAGAAAAACATTTGTATTTTTGGCCTAAGGTTTTGTTTTCTGGTAGGAATTCTGTAGACCTTCCTTCCCACCCACTCAGTCTGGGATTCTAACCGAGGGCCTTGCGATGTTGCTTTTTTCTGCAATGATTTGGAATAATGATGTTAACTTAAAATGATGTTAGTATAAAATAATGATAAAAAAACAAAAGGGGTG